GTGCAGAACTGTGATCTCTAAGCCTACATCATGATAATTACTATATCGACTTATTCTTAAATATATGAAAACTAAAACAATATACTTTGGTGCTCAATATTTATTGTGTGTACCTTTTCTTTGCAATAGTGGGGTGTTTTTGCCATTTTTATGTAATATGATAAGATTTGAGTTGTAGCGGTTTGAATAAATAATTGCTATTGCTATGGCTAATTATTGATTAATTTTGCTCTTTGTTTGTTGCAGCTTAGGTTTTCTAATGATACTGTATATTTAAGAATAGGTTTTCTGGGATTATCCTTTGTTTCAGTGGTAAAAAGTACTTTTAATATTATTGTTTATTGCAATATTTCTCTGTACCAATATATGATGGTTCAAAATGGTTATCATAAAGCAAAGTTTACTAAGGATTCTAAACCCAGTGATGGGTCCTGAAGCTCGATTGTACAAGATACCACTTGGTCAGTTATAAAATTATTTAGCAGTACATGTAATTTGTTGTATTGTCCCACAGAAATATGAACCAATAATGTAGCCTACCTTTTTCCATGAAGATCTTGTGAGTGTTTTAAATATCATATCAATGGAGCTGTGAGTCCAACTGAAAATACTGAGGCTCATCTTATTGAGCTTTGATGAAATGGGCCTTATCCTCTTGTGAAGTGTTCTCTTCTTCTGTTCTCATATAGTTCAGTCCTATAATGAAACAAACCTTTATAACATTAATAGTTAATTTTAAACATAGTGCAGTGTTTACATAACACGCCTACAGCCCTCTGATCGATTGCACCTGCGGGATCTGTTTACACGGAAGTCATTTTGAGCTGGATCAGGTGACCTCCAGTTTGTTTCAATTCACCATTAGTATTGATCTTGACTAGCTAACAAGAGTTTCAGATAAATATGAATACTTTGTTACCTATTTGAATAGAAATCTTAATGTGTGTTTATTGGTGGTCCCCCAGCCTTCATCAGGGCTGGAGGTCTGAAATGAATTGGCATGATTTTAACTTAACTATCTGCCATGTGGTATTAAAGGCTTTTAATTATTTGGTACTTTTTGAGTGCCTCGGTATTTTCAACTTTGTATTTGAGCCTGGTCCCTGCACTGAAGAGCATCAAAAGGACAATTTTCCACTATTTCTGTACATCCAAGTAGCACATGTGCCCCCTAAAGTTTTGCAAACTACCAAAACGGTTTTAAGAAGTCTGAAAACTCAAGAAAAAAACAAAACAAAATACAAAATATTCTTTGGAGCCTGTGAATGTTTATGGTATTTAGGTGTTGATTTTCAACAAAAAGGTGAGAGTGACTAACAGAAAAACTGTTAATTTTAATGTGAGACAACATCTGTTGTCACAAGTCAGCTCTTTCTGTGATCAGATTGTGTTCGACTTAATCCAATTTTTTTTTTAACTTAAGTAACAGAACTTCTAACAGAGTAGTGCTTACAGTTAGCTTCACACCCCAGGGAATGTTTATACCATCAGCTGAAAGTGTGATAGTTTGAAAAATTTGGATGAATGAAGAAAATGCTCATGTGTAGCCTATACATAAAAAAAAAAAAAAAAAAAGTATTTGACATGCATTCAAGCGTCACTGAAAATCATCACTAAAAGAGGAATGTATTCAGTAATATGAATAAAAGTACAAACAGACAAATTGAGGCCATTATAAAGAAATATAAAGAGCATAACTGTCAAAAGGACTGAATTGTTTCCAGGTCAAAGTTCACGCTGCCCATTGTTGGCCTCATTCTCACCACTGTTTGTGCATGTGGGTGTTTTATGACTTGCCTGGTCACCTATTTTCTGTCATCGTGGTCACTGCTTTGTCCCTTTTGTGAATATCGTCTGCCCTTTTTGTTTCCTTTTATCCAGACAGAGCATTATGTCACCATCTCACTATATATTTTATCTGACCAGCTGCGTAACACCTCGCTAAATGTCAGTGCCAAATTGTCAGATCTACTGGTCAAACACATATTGAAGAGGCACTTGTTGGTAGCCGAACTGACCCAGTTTTCAGTTTCTTTCTTTTTGGTGGTTATGCCTGTGCCCCAGCCCTCCTGACCCTCTCAGCTGTGCCTTGTCTGCCTCTCCTCCCACTCTTCCTGTCCCCGAGCTGCTCCATCTTTGTTTAGCTCCTCTGTCTTGTAGAGCGTGACTGGGCACACTGCCTTTTGCTAGTAGCCACTGTGTAACATTTCAATTGCTAATGTTAGGATTCAAGTTACACCCGAATAATGAATGTGAGGTATGCAAAGATGTTCAGTATTAGAAACTGTTTATCTAAACTCTTCTAAGTTAAGATCATAAGCTTTAAAATGTGACTTTGTTCAGCATGGCAACATAACGTCTGATTCCCAGACCATATCAGGCTCCCATGAGAGTCTGACAGTGGGACTTCCCTGGAGCAACAAGAAAAAGCAGGTTAGCCAAGAAAATCAACTTCTAATTAATCTCTCCGCAAATGGTCCAAGCCTGTGTTAGTCCCAAATGAGACAGTAGTGGAAAAACACATTGTTACAGTAAGTGGTGTTGCCTCTCCACTGATCTGACCTGTAATTTGGCCTAATGGCAGAGACGTGGAAACAAGCTGGTGGCGGGCCCTCCACTAAAAAGCTTGCTTAGTGCACCTTTTAATATTTTCTTCTATTATGTATGTTTTTTGTCACAGTTGTGCAGACTCCACCTTATTTTTATTGCCAGACACTGCCCCTCCCTGGTCATTCTCTCTCTTGTCTGTAATTCACCATGTCCTGCCTTAGGCCAGTCCACGTTGTTCTCACAGTCTGATTGAATCATCTTCGAGTGGTGTTGTTTTCTATGGCGTGAGGTTGTCGTTTCTCCTTGGGTTGGTTCAGGGTGACTCATTCAGGACCTGGAGCTGTTGAACTGTGGAGATACACTGAAATGCTCTGTGAACTACTCTATTGTTGACTTTGTGGTTAAATCATTAATGTAAAAAATGATCTGACTTACTTGCCAGAAAGACAAAGAAAGTTTATTTGTATACCACAGTTTGTACACAGAGTAATTGAAAGTATTGTAATACAAATAAATAAAAACATAAATAATGATCATAAAATTCACATTAAAAGAGAAGAGTGTGGAATAAAAACCTTTCAGTCATATGCACAGCTAAACAGAACTGTTTTGAGCCTGGATTTAAAGAGTCAAAGTAGAGGTCTGTCTCACATGTTCAGGAAGACTTTAGCTGCAAAAAAAAAACTGAAAACTGAAACACTGACTCCCCATGTTTAGTCTTGACTCTGGGCACCACCATGAGGCCAGTCCCTGAGGTCCTGAGAGTGTGAGATGGTTGATATGGCAGTAACATGTCAGAGATGCACGTTTTGTACAAGTCTCTCCATGGCCAAGCACCGAGCAGAACATCTTTAAAGTCTGTTCTCTGAGCCACAGGAAGCCCGTGCAGAGACCTGAGCACAGGACTTATGTGCTCATACTTCCTGGTTTGAATCAGGACCCGAGCTGCAGCATTCTGGGTGAACTACAGCTCATTTGAAGAGGCCAGAGAATAGGCCCTTATAGTAGTCTAATCTACTGGAGACAAACATGAATGCATCTCTCCAAGTCTGGTTGGTCTGCACATGTAATCTGTTTTTGTTTGAATGGCTATTTACTTGTCAGACCACTTTCTCTGAAATTGATTTCTAACAACAACAAATGCACTAATGACTAATCTATACAGTACAATATGTATATTTTTAAGTTCACTGCCCTTTTAGATTTTAAAGCAAATCTAAAATATGTGTGCTTATAATTTATGTTTCATTTTCTATGTGTAGTTATGTGTAGCTTTTCTTTTAGAAATGTGTTTTGTTCACACAGTAATAGGTACAATTAAAGTCTTACTCATTACATTGTCATCGTGTTTAGAGTTCCGTCACCCAACCCTATCCTAAAACCAACAAGGCATTGAACCACTGTTGTTTTGCTTCATTCTTAGCTACATAAAAAGCAACAAAAAATAAACCCAAATATCCCCTTTTTTTTTCTAGTCAGGCTTTGATCCACTCTTTGCTTCAAAAACATGTCCTTTTTTGTTTTTTCATACTGAGAGGGCGTTGGAAGAGGAAAATTGTTTCAGGTCACTATTGAAATGCCAATTTACATGTCAATAAAACGTTGTAGTGATTATAGCCCATTATGAAGTGGGCTGTAGTGTTGATGTATATAGTCTCTGTCCTTGTTTTCTCTGCTCCACTGACAGCAGCGCAGGGAGGAAACAGGAAAGGCCTGAGCAGCTCGGTGTTGGGACGGATATCCTCTCTCAGGCGTGCCCTCCTCCCTCACCAACACTCCACTCTCTATCTCCTTTTATCCTCCCCTTTCCCAAAAAAACACACTGGGCTGTTGGAGTGGCACAAGCTCCAGTGAATTGAGCTTGTTCTTATATATCAGGTTTATCTGTTCGTTTTTAAATCTGGGATCAATATGTGTTGGCATGGAGACGAGGAAGATGAGGACAGTTCTGAGGTGATGTTTTGGGGTTTTGGTTGATCTTTGTCTTGATTTATTGTTTGAAGTGTAGATCTTTTTCCAGACAGTTGGAATACAAGTACTTAAGGCTTATTTTTTATCTACTTTTTCTTGATTGAAGTTGCTTTTCTGTTTTGAATTATCTATAATCAAGTTATTTTGCATTTACCAAAATGTCAAAGTTGATTCCTGTTTCACATGAAGTGAATTTCTGGAAGGAACTAGTTTTGTTTTGGAATATCTTGAACAATTAGATTTTTTATTGAAGATGTTGATCAATAACACAAAAGGTTAAACAAAAGCAAATGTTTACTATCCCTTGGTCTTTTGTATTGTTTTGTTTCTTCTTTCCCTCCTGCCAACTTCCTTTTTCTCACATTTTCAATTAGGAGGTGTTTATCTCCTTCCTTCCTTAATATTTTACTCATTATGTTCTCTTGACTTATGTCTGTTGATTAAATTTTTTACTGATTTCTTCTGTTTTGTCTGGGCAGAGTGACCCCGGTGGGCTGACGGTTTTGGAGCAGCTCGGTTTGGATCAGAACTCAGACTTCTCGGACTCCAGTGTTCAGCAGCTTCTGGAGGAGCAACGTGAAAGGATTCGAAGAGAAATACGGAGAGAGTTAAAGATCAAGGAAGGAGCTGAGAATCTGCGACGGGCCACTACTGACAAGAGGAATGCCCAGCAGGTCCGTGATCGGTGATTAAACGGTTGATAGACAAACTGTACAACTGCAGTAAATTTCTACTAAAGGCGGCACACAGAATCTGTTCTTTTGAATTTACATTTTAGTTTACTTTACCTTTTGGTAAAATTTACTCAAAATGTCCATTTTGTACATTCCTAATGCTTTGTCACTGGGGTAAAAATGCAGCTCTGTCAGGAATTTATTTAGTCAGACAACAAGAGTACTGTAATTTGTGCCACAAGGATAAGACTGTGGAAGACCAGGAATTCTCCACCAAGAGCTCTTCAGGAAACTCTTTAATGACTTTATTTGGCCAAAGAAGTTTTGGTTTAGGGGCCTCCAACACTTTTCTCCCAGAGAGCTACTTTTACAAAACCAAAATGGTCAAGAGCTACTCCTTTTAAGAAGCCTCAAGAAACAGAGTCTGTATTATAACAGCATATAAAATATAAACCATAATCCAATTTTTAGGATTACAGTGATGATGAGTACCCAGTGTCATGTGGACTTCATAAATGATTTGGGACTATAAGAAAGGGTGGTAGCTCCTGTCCCAAACCACAGGTTGGGGACTCATGTCTTAAATTCTCTAGTAGAAATCAGTTATTAATAATGTTTGGTTTTAGTTTGAAAAATACTTGGATAAACTAATACATAATAATAAACTAGTACAAACATAATCAATTTATGTTATTTTTTCTCAAGGTGGAAAATCAGCTGAGAAGCTCTAATCGCAAACTGGACGATCTGCACGCACAGCTGCAGGAGCTGGACGCACACATTGTGGTCAAAGGAGGAGATGAGAATAAAGGTTTGTTAAACATGTTTTTGTGTAATTCTCATGGGGTTGTGTGACTTTAAATGTTTCTCTGTGTTTTTTACATTGCCTTTCTTCTTCTCCTCCAGTGTGTGTGGTCTGTTGTTTTCATGTATGTTGTCACAGTATAACTGCCATGTCCCCAGAGCCACTGTGGCTACTTTGAGGCTAATGTGTCTGCAGGTTGATAGGGTTGAAAATGTAAACAATTTTGGGAAGCTTAGTATGGAACATGTGGTTCCAATATTATTTAATAAAAATGAGGCCTGTGTGTGTTTTTCTAATGAACCATTTTCTGCACAGATGAATGCCCCCAGTCCCCTGGGGCAGAGAGCCGAACCTCAGCCCACAAGGAGCGCATCGCTGCCCTGGAGAGACAGCTCAACATCGAGCTCAAAGTCAAACAGGGCGTTGAAAACATGATTCCCATCTATGCTAACGGATCCACTAAGGTATAATTGTCAGCACTATAAAGCAGCATTATACTAGCTTAGGTGTGATTTGGCAAAAGGCTTTTGAGAAACCACTGTACACAAACATACAGGATGAAAGACATTATCTATAACTAGAATGCACAGCCATACCTACCCCAACAGGGACGTATGTAATCCATGGTTTTGCTGACAAAGACAACAGTCACTTAATGTACATAAGTGATGACACACATAAAGCCCTGCCTGTGCTGGCCCACTGTTACTGCCAACATCACTCCACTTGTACCTCTCTATGCCGCAACATGTTGACTTATACAGATGTCTTTAAATATGGTCTTAGTTGGATTAACCCTACTGTAAAAGACTCTTAAACACTGTTATAAGGTATGTCTATTACAATTTACGCTGTGCTTTCAATATGTCTCTGTAGATTAAAAAAAAAAAATTATCTCTTTTACTCAGGACAAGAAGATGTTACAGACGGCTCAGCAGATGCTTCAGGACAGTAAGACCAAAATTGACATAATTCGGATGCAGATCCGCAAAGCTGTGCAGGCCACCGAGCAGAATGACGACACACAAGGTAAGATAAAAGTGCACTGTGTAATTTTTCTGGAGGGGCCCGTAGCCTGTTTTGTCTCCATGGAGATGTTAATGCTTTGGTTTAAATTGTCCACAGTATAGTATTAAACTAAAATGTCTTGCATTTATTCAAGTACAGGTGTTATTTATTCCTCAAAAATATCTTAAAATATCCATTCTTACTGTGAGTGGGGTAATTTGGCTTGCAGGGCTCCATGGAGATTTATAGTCACACTGTGGGACATTCTAGGCACTTCTCCATGGAGACAAGCAGGTGACAAACCCTCCAGCAAGTTTTACTTGAGTCTATGAAAGAGTGGAGTACAAGTGTAGAGGATAACCATGAGCAGGTTTCTCTGTGTAATCCCACAGTTGTCCAGACAGGTTCTACAGCAAAAGGAAATTCAATGTTGCAACTGGACTAAAGTTTTAGAATGAAGCTGTTGGATGAGTAGCGAAATATCTTTGCTGTTTTTTGGACCTAGGATGCTGCAGTGTTGTCTAGATACTTGGGCCTCACTGTTTGTATTGGGCAGGAGCTCCAGACAGCCGAAATACAATAGCACCAACAGATCAATAAGGACTGGGCTCAGTGCATTCCAAGAAAGACACAGCTCAAGATGTACTGTATTTGAAGTAGCAATGCAACTGACTACTCTAAACTACTCCAGAGGAGCTAATTAGTGTTTTTTGCTAAACCCAGTCCTATGCAGAGTCTTGTGTATATATTATTTACATCTGAAATATCTAAAATGAAAAGGAAAATGTGCAAATGATCATACAATTATGTGTTTAGGTGTGTGATCTGATCTCATAATCGGACGTCAAAACTTTTACTAACATCTACATTTTCTTGCCCATAATAAACAATTATTGTCCGGTAGAATTACTTCGAATAATTTTCCTCCAATAAAGATAGTCTGACACAGTAGCTGACACATCACAATAAATATAATAACAATGAGCAAAACATATAAATAGTATTAATAAAATAAAATAAAAAAATAAGCCAAAATAGCAAGAGACTGGTGTCAAATAAGGCATAAGTATTATATAGACAAGAAAAATAAAATATAGAAATATAGTAGCCATATCTCTGCTATATACAAGAGGACTTAAAGAAAAACAGTACAAAGATTAAATAGTGATATCATCAGACCTAGACAGAGATTAAAAGTATTGCCTGAATGTAGATTATCACCACAATTAACTAAAATGTGGTGATAAATTTACACCACAAACAAAAAATGTGTGTTTCTTATAATGTTCATCACATACCTGGAGTTGTGTTTTTTTTCATTCACACATGTTTAACACACAAATTGTGCATATTTAGGCTGAGTTCTTCTCTCAGATCAAAAAACTCTGTTCCATCTTGTGATGTCATGTGATAATACAGACATGGAAGTGCTGCACTGTGTTTTTAAACTCCATACATCTTCCCTAGAATCATTTGGATAATTTTGGTACTGAAATTCCCAGTCTCTGCTGAACAAAAGGTAAACTGTGGCTGTTCATATGAAAACTACCACTACATGACATCCCAAGGTATTCTAATATGGCTTAAACCTCACAAGAGTCAATTTTGCATAATAGAGGACCTTTTATAGCCCCAAATGAAACTGTTGTTTGCTGTGGTGGAGTCATTGATTACTTCAGGTGAGCAGGGCTAGGGGTAGGAGGCGTACTCAATGCTGGGAAAACAAGACACATGTGGGTCAAAGTTCAGTGCAGCCAAGTCTGATCAGACAAGAGAAAAATACAAATTTAGCATTTAGCGTATTCCCACTTTGGCTCTTCATGGTGCTTTTGTTAGACTGTGATTCCTGGGAGAGAACTATGTGTATTTTAAGGCAGAGATAATGACTAAGAACTTTTCAAAGGCCTTATAAGGTCATAAAAGTTATTTATAGTCCACCGGTTTTAATAACTTATATATTCACAGCCTAATTTTACTGATATTGTTAAAAGACCTTAGACATTCCACTTCTAACACCTGGTCCTTATATGCACATTATATATTATGCTTTATGGCTGTATTACTGTAAGGTATTTGTGTTAGTACCTTTCCTTGCATGTATTATTAAAGGTATTTTTTGCTTCTAAATTCTAATATATAAACTTAAAGCCTAATCTGCTGATTCTTTGCTCACCCATCTCTCCTCACTGACAGAACAGTGTCTATAGTGTACACAGACAGACAGTCTCCAGGCACCACACCCGCTGGAGGGGTCATGTAGCCAGGGCTGGACTGCAGGCACAGCACCTTATTAGGAGATAAAAGCAAGCGTATCTTTCTGTACTACTACGAGCCCCACTTCTACTTTTTTACTCTTGTTTTATGCAGAGATTTAAGTCCAGAAGCAAATGAAATGTGTGCTGCCTCTTTATCAACAGCAATGGCCTCTGATTTTGAATTAAAACACTAAAATCAGTAAAAAAAAAATAAATAAATAAAGAGGATTCATTATAGGTATCAGTGTGAATGGCAAACAGGGATGACGAACTGATAATGAACTGAGTTAAAGCAACACTGTGTAACTTTCTGGTGGTGGTACGTCCATACCTAGGCCCATACTGTGTTGTACTATACCAAAAAATTTCCATGAAGACAAGCAAGTAAGAGTCCCTCGTCCAGGCTGAGTAAAAGTCAGGTGTATGGAGGTGAAAACCTAGTCACGATAAGGACGTATGTTTTTTCAAGCAATAAAAACATCTTACAAAGTTACACTGTGGGGCTATAAGTACTACATGTTTGAATTGTTTGTGGCAGCCCAGTTAAAAATAAATATTATCAATTGAAATGCAAAAAAATTAAAATAATAATAAATGGGGCTGTTTTAAAAGTTATGTTATTGTCCGTGTCCTGATCTAACATTTGTCTCTTCCTCAAATTATTGTGCATTGTGTACACCATTAAACCACTTAGGCGTAATAGCACATCTTAAGTGCTTCCTTCTGCCCTGTTCTAATTGACTCCCTTGTTTTTCTGTTAATTGATAGCAGGGCATCGCCTTAACCTGATTTAACCCACTTAGCTTCAGTTTAACTTGGAGATGGTGGACATTTTTTATTGATTTTTCCCATTAAATGTCATTAAATTAAAACCTCTAAGTTGTATGTAATATCTTTTATTTTTAAAAATGCTGACAAATGACCTCTCCCGCCTGTAAATGTTTCCTCCATCTTATTTTTCTGTAATGCCTGACGTCCATTAAGGTATTAACTTAACTGTGTATGCCCTCGGGAGATTTGGGAACACACCTCTGCCAAAACACAATTTGCTAGTACTATAAACAAATGGCTGGTCAATTATTACAAAATGAGATATGTTGTGTTGAATGAAAATAATACTATGTGTGACTAATGGACACTGACTTTGTTTATATGCACACCAGAAATCTGATCATTGTCTGACATATGGAGTTATCAGATTATTGAAATGTCATGTAAACAGTTATATAATGTAATAACTTCCTGTTTTTTTACACTTGAGTAGGTTTTGACATTAAAATTACACTTCATCTTCTTGGTACAACAGTGGCTCTAAAAATCCACTGATTAAAGGTGCAATGTGCAACTTTCCTGTTGGGGAAGATATAATTTCTTTGCCTAAAATATTCCCTAGTATATTAAACTTGAGCAAATTGGTTGAGAAGATGACACAACCGGACCAAGTCACAAGTCAGATCTATGGAAAGGCAAGCCCAAGCACAGTAAGAATGAAAAGCATGTTCTTCCAATGTCATTTTGAGCAGTATAAACCCTAACCCAAAACGAAATAAACTTAAAAGCTATATGTTTTTGATGCTATAGTGTTGAACATTGCAGGCAAAGCATTAAAATCTGCTGACAGTCCATCAGAAAGTTATGCAGTGCACCTTTAACTAACACATTTCAACAGGTGTTTTCAGCTTCTTTCGTGCATTTAAACACACACCAAAAATCAATTCACTTACTAGGTTATCTAATTTTAGTCATCTGATTATTTTTTTTTTACTGTCCATGTAAATGTACCCACTGATCTATTTTGACTTCTCCAGGTAACCAAGACTTGTGTGGAGTGGAGCTGCGCATAGAGGAGCTGAGGCATCACTACAGGGTGGAGCATGCTGTGGCGGAGGGGGCAAAAAATGTGCTTCGACTCCTAGGAGCCAACAAGGTCCAGGACAAGAAGGCTCTGTCTGAGGTAAACACACATCTACACATTATAATCTATTATAATATGTTCCCCTTTAGGGATGATTAGTCGATTAATCGATAATTGATCATTAAGAATTTCATCAATTATGTAAATTTTAATCGACAATCCGATTGTAGGTTGCTGTGCGTAGCGTGACCAAACAGGAGTCCGTACATGTACCTCTCTGCACTCAGAAGGAGCGAGCAGACACAAACTGTCGGTCAGCTTGCAGCGTACCGAAGCACAAATGCGTATTTAACGATGACTTGTACAAGAAATTCCACACTTTCCGTTGCGTTTGGGACAAGTGGGAGGCCACGTGCACAGTGTACAAAGCAGCACATATGTTTCGGTGTCCAGTGGGAAAAAGCTTTGCCAGGTGAGAGTAGCGTAATGTCGATGACGAGTCCCCACCTCCCACCTCCTGTACGGTGTCCTGGTTTTGACAAACGCAGATATGGTCACACTAACCTGTATTCCACTAAGTCGTGTCGCATCAGCGCACAAAAGCTGTTTTTTTTCTTCACTTAATGTGTGCAAATTAGCCATGCGGTTTCAAGTTTCGTTTCTGTGAGAGTTGCGAAAAGCTGCATTAAACACATTATAATCTCAAACGGGCTGAATTTATTTATGCTGATTAGTAGTGCAGATAGTAATAATAATGATGATAAATTTTAATATAAAAAACGTTAATGATTAATCGATAATCGATCGTTAATGCTCCCGACGATTGATTAAGAAAATTTTATCGAATGCCCATCCCTATTTCCCATAACATAGATCATCATTTTGAACATTGATGACACAGCTTCATATTTTGGCTGCTTATTTGTGTCTTGTTTATTTCAGTGTCAATACAGTGTTTCCCACAGATTTATGCTAAGGCTATGGTAGCATAAGCAATCCGTATTTGAATAATTTTATGTAATACATATATTTTGGTGTATAAATGTCACTTATTGCCTCTACTGAACAAAAAACACTGATGAAAGATCAAAAAGTATAAAGTATCATTTTTATCATGAGATTATGAGGGCCCACCATAGTCTCCTTTTATTAATGGGAAACACTGGTCAATATGTGACGATTTCTGTTTTGTCTATTTGTTCATATGGTTATTTTTAATGTCTCATGGGGCACTTTGAGCCTTTTGCACATGTTTTTCCAATGTGGTTTATAACTACAAATGGCAACTAACCTAATCATACATAACTGTCTGAACTGAACTGAAAACTACACTACTTATGAGCTTGGTTTGTCTATCAGGCTCAGACTCGTCTAAGCGAGGCCTCTCAAAAGTTGGATCTACTGAGGGATTCTTTAGACCAGCGCCTCTCAGAACTGCCAGACGACCATCCCAAATCCAGTGTTATCAAGGAAGAACTTGTCCTGGCCTCTTCTCCAGCGTTCAGCTCTCGCCATGGTGCCCCCTACCTCCTTAACCAGTACAGCACGCTAAACAAGCCATCGCCACTAACTGGTAGGTTGTACTAAGCTAAGAAAAAAATAACACAACAAGGTTTTGTTCAAACCCCTTCTTTACAACACTCATAGGCTCATTGGTCATTGGATGAAGTTGGAATAGTAACAAAACTGACGATAAACTGTGTAAATATGGTTTCTTAAAAGTCCTGTATTGCTCAAAATTGAAAAAAATAATACACATAATAAAAAATCTTGTGCACTTTAAACCAAGTTGAAAAGTTGTTACCTCCTCAAAAATATGCCTGGAGCTGTATTTTATTTAAATCACACATGTTTGAGTAATCCTTTATTATTAGTCTGTCTACATTTCCAAAGCTCAAATTGCTCTGTTCCCATCTTGTAATGTTGTGAAGCGGTAGTTTTCATGTTAACAGCTACTTTTTTACCTTTTACACAGTAGAGACTGACAGTTCCAGGGCTAAAAATATCCAAATGAGAATGAAATGATATTCATTTTTTGTGTGTTACAAATGTGTGAATGAAACAAAACACTACTCCAGGTATGTGATGAGGAAACAACATTATAACATAGATCAGAAAATTGCGAAATATGGGCCCTGTAATTTTTGCATAATTTTTGTCAACTTTGATGTTCAGATTGAGTACTTCTGTCCTTAGGTACGCTACAGGTACAGCTGCTGGGCTGTGTGGGTCTGCTGGAGGTGGTTCCAGGCCGCTGTAAAGGCACCGCAGTGATGTTGCCCTGTTACAGCCCTGGAGACACCAAGTCCTTCATGAGAGGAAGCAAAGGACTGTACGGGGGACGCAGCGGCTCCGTCAGCGGCAAGACGCCGAGCAAAACAGATGAGCTCTCGAGTAAGTTCTCTAGCAAAATGTAATTGAGATGTCTGTATAATCCCTCAGTCGTTTATCTAGGATCTGTAACTAATGAAAAAAATCTATTCTGTCAACTGGACAAAAATTTTTGAGCTGGATGAGCTGTGAAACGTTTTCACTCAAACAGTAAAAAACATAATTTTAATATTTAGGTTACATTTCTCATTTCCTCCAAGCAATAGAGGCACTATTTGAAAATGAAAGAGGATACAAGTATTGTCTTCTAAAACTAGTGCACTTAGGCCAATAGGTCCATTAACCATAGGCCATAGGTCAATTAACTTTTTAATTTTGAAGTCCGATATATTGCTGATGTAAATATGGCTGATAAATTATAATATTGAAACAAAACATAAAGTGGAATTATCCCCCCAAAAGTATTTTAAATGTTCAATATTGTTAAAAAAATTAACTGCAATAAATACATAAAAGAATGCAATATTTATGTTGGTTTGTATCTATAATGAGTCGTAGAAGTTCATAATTCAACCTGCTACATCTTAAATCTCATTGTAGCACAGAAAATCTTCTCTCTAATACAAAGAAAAAGTACCCATGATAGTCTATAAAGCATTTATCATGACAGGCCTACACTAAAACTTTAAACAATTAACACCCATAATGGCCTTCTGTTTATTATCTGTGTGTGTTTTGTTGGTGTGTACATAGTGATAAAAAGTACCAGTTCAATGCTAATCAAAAGCTCACCTGGTAGATTGTGCTGCAGTGGCTTAAATATATAATGACCCTGGATCAGCAAATCTGTCTGCACAGATTATCTGAGAAAGCACTTCACAAACCGCTCCCTTAATGAAACGCACACAAGGTGATGGCAGAATAGTTTTGTAGTAAGCATTTAGTAGGAGGTTTGTTTGCCATCTAAATGTGCTTTTATTGTAGGGCTGGGTCAGTTCTCATGATACAACATCATTTTAATGCAAACTGCAGCTGTGGCTAATGTTGAGTTTATTGTACTGTGGAAGTGCTGCTGATGCTTGTGACACTGATAATGATAGAGATTTGTCAAATAGAATAACGAATATACCTTTATATGTAATATATAAGGCCCTATATTACACAAAACTCTTGTGAGGTTTAAGATATGTTATTATCTATCTAGTTGTGTTTTATTTTATTCACCCATTTGAATAATCCTTGATTATTAGTCTTTTTACATCACCAAAACTCCAAATGCACTGTTCCACCTTGTGATAAGGCAGTAGTTTTCAAGTTAACAGCTACCTTTTACTTTTTGTTCAGAAGAGATAGACAATTCCAGGTCTGAAATTAAGATTCTTGTGAAGTTGCATGGAGTTTAAAAACACAGTGGAGCACTTCCTGTATTGCCACATGACATCACAAGGTGGAACAGAGTGTTTGAGAGAAGAACTCACCCTAAATATGCAGGATTTGTATGTAAAACATGTGTGAATGAAACAAAACACAACTCCAGGTATTTTTGTGACAAGGAAACAACATTATAACAAAGATTAGAAAGATACCAATAACCACTAACAGGGTTAATTCGACAGTTATTTATATTGTTGTCTATCAAAATTTACACCATATGTCTCTGCCTTACTTTATTGCAAATCCTTTCTGTTTGCAGCTGAGGTGAGTGCAGTTTTGAAGCTGGACAACTCTGTGGTGGGACAGACGGCTTGGAGGACAGTAGGAGAACAGGCCTGGGACCAAACTTTCACTGTGGAGCTAGAGAGGGTTTGTGCATACACACTGTATAAAAATGCCTTTGTATGAAGGAAAAGTTTCTAATAATATTTATGTCTGTTTAGTCTCGGGAGATGGAAATCGCTGTTTACTGGAAGGACTACCGCTCGCTATGTGCCCTCAAATACCTGAAGCTTGAGGAGTTTCTCGACAACCAAAAACACAGGGTCCAACTGGAGCTGGAGCCGCAAGGCCTCCTGCTGGCTGAGGTACACAGAAATTGTTCTATTCAATTCACTTTGACCTCTGCTCTGTTTTGAAATATCCATCCTCTCCCTGTCACGCTTTATCAAAAAAATAATGCTAATACAGAGATTGAAAGAGAGAAATTGTTCAATTCAAAGGGAAAACCATGAAAACCAATAAAGCTGTGAACAGATGTCCATGCTATTGAAGTCCTAAAAATACATCCCAATTCCGTATTATGTGTTCACCTATCCCACTTCTGTAGCTGTCACCCACACCTGTGCCACAAACACTTTGATATTTGTTAAACAACAGACGGATGTGTTGGTGTGGTGTCATCTTTTCATGTTTGGTGAGGTTTGTTTGTGTGCGTTTTCCAGGTGACCTTCTTTAACCCTGTAATCGAGAGAGCGCCTCGCCTGCAGAGGCAAAGGAAGGTCTTTTCCAAACAGCAAGGTGCGCAATCAAGATGAGACTGAGATTGTAATCAGAGCCTGTGAAACAGTTTGATATGTTTTGGAAACTTTTAGGGGTTTATCTTGACCAAAAGCTCTTTGAGTTCAAAGGGAGGTCTTCTGTAGAAATTTGACATAGATCTCAACTCCGCCTTGTGGTCAAAAATATACATGCAGGTTTGGGCAAATTAGATCCTCATAAACTCTCTCCTAATGTTTATAGTTTTGAGTAAGGGTCTAGTTTTTGTAAATCTTGTTTTAATTGACTACACGTGCATGTATTCTTTCTTTTAGGCAAAGCATTTCTTCGAGCTCGTCAGATGAATGTAGATATTGGGACGTGGGTGAGGCTTTTGAGAAACGCTATTCCAACTGTCAACAACTCCGGCACCTACAGTCCGAACGCTCACAGCCTCACACTGAACAGCGGGTGAGACTCTCTAAATGTGCATTTAGAATCACCATAAGTGCAGCATTCAGCCTCAACAAGTGTTTGTGATAGCTATCTCTGTGAGATTTGGCTATCAATCATTTTCCTTGAGACTTTTCCTTTTGTTTCTGGGTAAAATACAACGCATGTGATGGTGTCATCTGCTCTCCATCATCTAATGATCCGATTTGTCCATTTGTCTGTGTGCAATCACCACATCGGTGTCTTTGTCCGTGTGAATTTTTCAGAGAGATCTCAGTGGAAAAGTTGAGTTTGGACAGCGACTCTCCCATTAGAGGCGATTACAAGAGAGAAGTGGATATACATACACCGGTGAGATAGACAAAGAATTCATTTAATTGTTAATATTTACAGTTAGGATTTATAACAGTATAAGCTTTTGTATGTTTTATGATATAAAGGACCTATATTACACAAAATTGACTCTTGTGATCTCTAAGCCATATTTGAATGTTGTTACCTCCTCAAAAACAAAGCTGTGTTGTGTTTTGTTTCATTCACGCATGTTTGAGTAGTCCTGGATTTTTAAGATGTCTGAATCGCCAGAACTCAAGTTTTCAGGTAGTTTTCAGGTTAACAACCACCTTTTACCTTGTTTATTTGAGTTGGGCTGAAATCATTCAAATGATACTACCGGTACTGAAGGTGTGTGGAGAAAACATGTAATATGTATTACAACATTACATCACAAGGTGAAACAGATTGTTTTCTGTTTGAGAAAAGAAGTCATACAGGATTTATGTGTTATACATGTATGTGTGAATGAAACAACTCAACTCCAGGTATGTTTGTGATGAGGAAAAACATTATAACATAGACCAGAAAATAGTGTAATATGGGCCCTGTAAAAATAAAATAAACTTACAAAAGATCAAACAAAAGTAATAATTGGTCCACTTGATAGTGATTATACCATTTCTTCTCACCGGCTTTGAAATATAAATGATATATAAATCCACACTGTTTGGTTCTCTTGTCGTTCTGCCACACTTCATATTTCCTCTGTGTGTTATCCTTGCCTGGCTCCCCCTTAGGACCGACTACCAGCCACCGAACCCATATCTCCCCCAGACCTCCCCCCAGAGAGCCCTGCCCACACCCCACCCATTAACAGGTATAACTTTCCTCAAAAAGACACTAGTATATTTGTAACATTGTCTGATAACTCTGAGCATATAACTACACACTCTGCCCATGCTTTTCCAGTAAGCAAAGAAGAGGTCCACTTTCCCTGCAGGATTTTAGATTGATAGCAGTGCTTGGAAGAGGACATTTTGGAAAGGTTTGGTCTTGCCCAGATTTCAGAAAATATTTTTTTCAGTTTCAGCACATATTGTCTTATGTTTCTCTCTCCAGGTGTTGTTATCAGAATATAAAAAGACAGGAACAATGTATGCTATCAAAGCACTAAAGAAAGGAGATATTATAGCTCGAGATGAAGTTGAAAGGTAAATATGGTTTTATATATATGCAATTTACAGATTGATTATCTTAACATCTACTAAAAATGTGTACTTATTTGTGATTATTTAACTCTTTCTTATATTTTTGCCTGTTCAGCTTGATGTGTGAGAAGCGCATTTTTGAGATCGTGAACCTGTCCCATCACCCATTCCTGGTCAATTTGTTCGCCTGTTTTCAGACTGCAGAGCATGTGTGTTTTGTCATGGAGTACACAGCAGGGGGTGACCTAATGATGCATATACATACAGACGTGTTCACAGAACCACGCTCTGTGTATGTGTCTGTGCAGTAATGCATAATCATTTAAATCCCTGCTTAATAAAACAGAGTTTATTCATTCTGTTCAATGTTACTTCAGGTTTTATGCAGCCTGCGTGGTTCTAGGACTTCAGTTTCTTCATGATCATAAGATTGTATACAGGTGAGTTTGTTTGGCAACAAATAACAATATGAAAAATTATTACAATTTACTACCTAACCCCTTCGTGCCTATTCCAGGGACCTTAAACTTGACAACCTTCTACTCGGCACGGATGGTTATGTAAAAATTGCGGACTTTGGCCTTTGTAAAGAAGGTACTTATCTAAGTTGGCTAACATTATAATAATTAGATAATGTATTACAAAAAAACAAGCACATTGATCAGACATGGATCTAATTTTACCCTTTTTTAGGGATGGGTTTTGGGGATAGGACAAGCACATTCTGTGGCACTCCAGAGTTTTTGGCCCCAGAGGTCCTCACAGACACGTCCTACACCAGAGCAGTGGACTGGTGGGGGCTGGGTGTCCTCATCTATGAAATGTTGGTGGGAGAGGTGAGACCTTCTATTCTAATGATGCTAAGTGCAAGGTCCAAGTGCAGTGTCAGACTTGGATTTAAAATGACTGATCTTCTAGTTTTAAAAAAATGCACATTGTAATGGTCCCCGTTATAATTTGTTCATTTAGTTTTTAACTTTCAGGATATTGCACTATTTTAATTGTTTATCATATGCTCATATAATTATTAACAAAAACCTCACATATTTCTAAAAAGTTGGGTACTACTGAATTTTCTCTTGCTATGCCTCTTTTAAGACTAAAGCTTTGCATGTTTAACAGGACCCAAGTTAATTAAAAGATAAGAACATGGGCACTTTTAACCTTGTCTATTGTTTGTGTACAGTCCCCATTTCCAGGAGATGATGAAGAGGAGGTGTTTGATAGCATTGTGAATGATGAAGTACGCTACCCACGCTTTCTCTCTACTGAGGCCATTGGCATCATGAGAAGAGTAAGAGTGCAGATGTCTTTTCTGTAATCATGACAGAAGATTATACATACATACATACTAGAGCCCGACCGATATATCAGTTGGCCGATATGGGCTCCTGGAGATATATCGGCTATCGGCCGATATGCTTGCTGATATGGGCCGATATTTCACGTGGGCATGTTATACCTCGTTATAAATCTTAGACTCTCTACATTATGTTCATTTAATTCAATTTACAGACAGATAAATGTCCTAATATGTGGCTCCACATCTGTATTCATCTACGAAGTCATTTGTCTGTGTGTGTGTCCCTACTGTGTCTGAACACACCCCCAGAGTCATGTCACTTCTGTTCTTGTTTACACCCGCAGCCGTGCGCAACACTGAGTTTATTTTCTTTTTATGGACAATCGGTTTGAGTCTGGATTAAAAGGACATTTATTAGTGCAGACTTGTGATGTGAGGAGGAGCCTGTGTGAGCGGTGAGTGTTGGAAATACATCGACTTTGAGGCTAGTTTAGGTTAGCGATTAGCTGCTGTAGCTCTGACACATAAACAGGCTGTTTTCTATTGGCCTATTGTAAAGTGACTGTATTGGCCGTATATTTGTTACTGGACCTGCATTGATATGTAAATGAGCTGTGAATAGATGTGTGAATGATCCACATTTATGCATATAATTAATTACCGCGGCGCGCAGCATTTACGGTTAAAGGCTAATAACGGTAGCTTACTTTAGTAGCTAGTAGTGATGCGTCGGTCACGAACGAAACGGCTCTTTGAAGCGAACGACGGGAGCCTGCTCCTTATTGGGAGCCGTGTTTTCTCTTATTCTCACTTTTTTCTCTTCACGTCACGTGCAGACTGGTGGTAGTTTGACAGCGGAAGCGGCTCAGAACGAAACTTTCAGAAATCTGCGTGTGCATAGGATAGAAAAAAACATGCATATTTGGCTGTAGTTCAGCATAAAATGAATAAACCAGGACTAATCTCGGGCTCGAGAGACTGAGAGAGATAGAGACCAAGTCCCGATACTCAGTCCTGGTTCAGTTCTGGTTTAGTCCTGTTTTACACATGGTTTAGATCTGTTTTAGTCCTAGTTTAGTCCTTTTTCAGTCCTGGTTTAGACCTCCTTTAGTCTTGCTACCCATCACTAGTAGCTAGAATGTGATCTACAGTCCGTAAATATGACACAAAGAGGCAGAAGAACAATAAATGTTGCTTAAATAAACCAAATTTAAAATCCACTAGAGCCAAACCTAAGTTTTTTTATACAATTCAAGATTTACAGTGAATTTTTACATCACTAAATATATCGGCAATTATATCGGCTACCGGCCGCTCCAACTCCCATCATATCGGTTTCATATCGGCCACAACAAAATCCATATCGGTCGGGCTCTAATACGTACTCATATATATACTTACTCACCAGTGTAATGTCACTTCAGCTGTTACGCAGGAACCCTGAGCGGCGACTCGGTTCTGGTGAGAAGGATGCAGAGGAGGTGAAGAAACAGCCTTTCTTCAGGGTGAGTACATAATAAGCAAATAATAATAATACATTTTATTTGAGGTGCCTTTCAAGACATTCAAGGTCAAGGATAATATTTCAAAATATAGAGAGAATATCTACAGTAAAATACATAATGTTAAAATGTTAAAAGATTACCTATTTGCAAAGCAGACTTGGAATAGGTTTGTCAAAATCTCACATGTCTGATATAAACAATGAAACTCACAAACTCTCACCAATTGGCAAAACACATTTAAAATGCTAGAACTAAAGGCAGGGCTAAACAAAATATGTAAGGTATATTACCTTGACCCCCAGTGGGGGGGGGGGGACCCATCTCAAGAGCTTGTGCTAGGTTGTATGTCAGATTACAGTTGCAGTTTCTTCATCAAAGTTAATATTCTTGTAGAGTATTGATAAAAATGGCCTACACCAGCATTCAATTCTACTCAATACTAACCAAGGCAAGGCAAGTTTATTTGTATACAAAATTATTCAAAGCTCTTTACAGAATGAGAAATACATTAAACTCACAATACAAACAAATACAAAACTTAAATACTCAAAATTAAATTAATCATCATAAAATTAACATTAAAAGAGAAGAGTGTAGAATATAAAAATCTTTCAGTCATACTTGCAGTCAGCCACTGCATTAACCATTAGATTACCATTAGAAATACATAATTTATATAATATTTACCACTTTTATTTCTAGAATATGGACTGGGAAGCTCTGCTCCAGAAAAAGGTGCCTCCTCCATTTATTCCTACAATTGGTGGCAAAGAAGATGTGAGTAACTTTGACGAAGAGTTCACGACAGAAGCTCCGACTCTGACTCCTCCACGGGAGCCGCGAGTCCTCTCCCGAAAAGACCAGGATAGTTTCAGAGACTTTGATTATGTCTCAGACCTCTGCTAATGCTACAGGACTTCAAGACCCTAAAGAATGTGTCAAGGCTTCAAGTGGAGCCGATATATCAACCCATCTGACTGTTTGTCTACGATTATTACACTGTGAATGAATGAAGACATATTGGCGTGTTTTGTTTATTCATGTCAGCAGGATTTTAAAAGACTCTGAACTTATTAAGATGTATGTATAAATGTTGCAATCAAGGTGTGATGAGTAGAACTACCATAGAAGACTGGTTTGTCTGTTCTTTGTACATGTCATTGCCTGAAGTTCATTGAAAACAGTAGCCTATAAAAACGTGTCATCTGTGCAGCTCTGAGAGGAGAGGTTTGCTGTATCTTTGTACTGTTACATGGGATGAAGGCTGATTAAAAGCCTCTCATACTGATGCCTTATATTTTTACGTGAAATTTTACCACTACAGAGGATTTGTTTTAATATGAACACATTTGAGCTAATAGTGGCTTTTCAGTAAAGGTTGTGAACTGACTTGGCAAGTTATGAGAGGATTACAGGGTAAAACCACTGTCCAGTTTATAGGAACTATTTGGAAGTGCAACAAAACAATTTAATAATGAATAGTTGATAATGGAAATAATGCATGTCTTTGGCTCAGACACAACTAAGCATTAAAGATATATGGCATGTTGGCAACTTTGTCTTGTTCATATCAGATGTTATGCAAGAAATAACCACAACTTAATTCACTTTTATTTGCTATGTGTGCACAATTTCCAATTGTATAATTAGCAGACATTTGAATGTACAATTATGGCATATCACTAGTGTTTTTTGTGGGTATTATAAGGTCACTGGAAGTCTGCCAAATATGTCACACATATAGAAGCCTATGACAGCTTTTACAAATATGCAATTTATTGTAGTTAGTGGAATAATTCAGAAGTCTCCTGTATCATCAATGCCCTGACCATTTATATATATTATGTTGTCTCAAAATCAAAATTCAAATACAGTGACCACCTGTCCCTTATCCCATTTATTTAGAATGTCCAACGTTTTATTGTTGGCAAGCAAATTGTACAAAGAGTGAGATTTACATTGCAATCAAACTCTTGGAGGTGTACTGGCTTCCACATTGGCACCTACTACTATTCCAATCTCTGTGTGAATTATTGATAACAACTGAAAATTAAATAGTGTTTTTTGTTACAAGCTTACACTTAAAAGCCTTCCATATCCTACCACCAGATTGAACAACTTTTCCGGGAACTTTCTTTTACAAGTTGACAACCCTAGGTTGAAATCAAACACTGGGCCCATTTCATTTTTCTTTCCTTCTTGAATCCTTTCTTTGTTTCTGCAGGAAATGGGTGAGGAAGTTCCATCCACAGAGGAGACACACAAATTGAGGGTGAATAGGACAGTCTTTCCTCAGGCGATAGTTCTGACCAAAATTACCCTATGAGGGCCATACTATACTATAAGGATTATTGTTGATTATTATTATTTCAGGACTTTTAAATTAAAGTCACACCAGTGTCTTTATTTTAAGATAAGTGTATTTTAACATTTTTTAATAGTTTTAATGTCAAATTAAGGATGTCAAACATGCTATGCAGCTGTTGCGACAATATAAATTTCTTACTGTGAAACAAATACAGTTATATAATTGCACCTGATGTCTGCCTCCTGAATCCTCACTCAGGTTTCCTCTGTGGTTTCCTTCCCTTGCCTCCTCTGAGCTTTGGAAACTCAACTTACAATTCAACTTTATTTCCAGAGCACTTTAAAAACAGCATAGTCGACTCAAGTGCTGTACACGAAACACTTGAATAGTGACAAATACAGTGACAGGTACAATACAATACAGGTAAAAAGTCAACCCTCAAACTGTGTCAAGGAGAAAAAGTGAGTTTTTAGAAGGGACTTAAAAACAGACAGTGAGTCAGTCAGCCTGATCAGCAGAGGAAGCCGATTTCACAGCCTTGGAGCAGTCACTACAAATGCCCGGGCTCCTCTCTTGTTTTCTCCTGGTCTTTGGGACATAGAGGAGAGCCTGATTTGCTGACCTGGGAGGATGAGCAGGTCAAACAGAAAAACACTTAATCTGACAATCTTAATCTGAATGACATGTGGAAATGAAGGTCTGAAGAGAGGAATAGAGGAATGAGAAATGTACATGAAATCGTGAGGTATGTCCCGGTGCGCGCAGCTGCTGGGGCCCGTCTGCAGCCCAGTCAGTACCGGCCGCGGCCACATGGGGGAGTCGAGAGCCGCTCCAGGCTGCTCAATTTTTCAAGATGTCGTCGCTGGAACAGAGGCTTTCGCGAATCGAGGAGAAACTAAAACAAGAAAATGAAGAGGCTCGACGTAGGATTGACATTAACATCGACATGAGTCCACAGCGGTCACGTCCCAGGCCAAGTGAGTGCCCCCGGAGGTTTAATCCGGATTCTGTATGCGACAAAATAAGAGAGCAAATACGGAGAGGCGGAGGGAGGTGTTATCCTGCTCTAAGCTACATGCTAACAGGCTAGCTAGATAAACAAACATCAACCACTTCATCCGAAAGCATTCACAAGTATTTTGTTATTAATGCATAGCTGGTGATGGTTTATCCTTGGCATATTATTAAAACTAAATCGCTGTCATTTCACATTTTGTTTCTGCATTTCTGTGATTGTTTTGGATCAGTGCTGTCAAACAAGCTAAGCTAAGAAACTAGCAATTTATGATAGTCAAGCACAGGCCTATCGTGAACATTTTCTGCGGGTCTAAGGACATTTTTAATAGGATTGACAGCATAAAATATACTCAGATTAGACACATTTCATGACAAGCTTTGGATCAACAGTGCTTTAAAATTGCTGGACACCTTGGCTTACTTTGATTTCTTGATTTTCACGAGGGCGTTTAATAACATTGTTTTAATACAGAATTAAGATTGAGTTGGTGCTTAGCAATTGACAGCCACAACATAGCACCATATTTTACAATGCTTTATGTTAAAAAAACAAAAAAAAACAAACAATAAAACAAATAAAAATCAAATTACAAGACATAGGCTACTCAATGGTGTTGAAACTGGCTGGGCCTTATGGAGGTAGATGTTTTTGCGAGTTCAGATGGGATACCATAATACTTAGAAAGTACTAGTTTGATATTATTAATTTAAGCAGTTCTTAAGACCTCCAGGAATAAGATGTAATCACGAAATTGACTCAAAACAGCTGTAAATCCAATTGTTTTGAGTCAGTTTCATGATACTACTAGTACTAGCAATGTGTTCATTTACACTTGATGATTGCCTTGTTTCTGTGAAGTAATGAATATATTCTTGTTTCTCTTAAAATTTGTCAGGGGTTGTCAAAGCGAGTAATGGTAAGAATGGCGATCTTCCAAAACTTGACAGTGAAAAAGAACATGCTCTTTTGTATTTTTTATCATGATGGTGTGTGCCTGAGGATGTGTGCCTGTCTCTCAGCCATAGTGCAGTAATGTATGTGTGTGTATATATTTTCTTTCCTGTGTCCAGTCATCGTGATCCAGCTCAGTCCTGCTCCAGCCCCTTCCCAACGCGCAGGTATCATTCAGTCATCGCTCTCTCTGCCACTGCACCACCTTATCACCTCCCAGCTCTCACTCATCCGCTGTCTTTAACTTAACCCGTTATAGTATGCTGTTCTGTAATTAACTTTTTAAACAGGGTAGTAAATGTTCATTTATCTAACTCTGGTAAGACAAGTTTAAGATGTACTTTTTTCCATTCCTATAAGATGTGACTGTTTCTTGGTCTCATCTTCTAGCCTTCATCTTTTTAGCCATTGCACCTCAGCTCAAATCACATATTTTTCACATATTTTCCATTCTCCTTTCCCCTTCAGTCTGTGTGTCTGTGGCAGTGGCAGGCAGTGTTGTGTGTTTATATAGACAACACGAGCGTGTGCTGACTTGTGGAAGAAAATTAACCTTAGTTTTGCTGGAGGCCAAGAACCACAGTGCATGTGGCTTAAATGCACGGCACATTGTTTTGGTTGTGTTTTGTTTGACTCTGTCTCTAATTAAGCTTCCTCTGGTCAATCTACAGGAAATCACACGTCTCTCTCTTTACTTTGACTGGCATCCCCAGATTCTGTGTCTGATCACTGATCTGACTTTGAGCTCATATACTATGGTCTAATTCTCCTGTTACTGTTACAACTAATGTTGAAGTCCAATGTATCTTTTTGCATCCCTCACACGGCAGCAGTGTGAGAGCAGGAGTCAGTGTCTGCTAATATGTCTTTTTTATTTTTCTTTATTCTTGCATTGTCTTGCCATCTGTGCTGTTCTGTGTCTGCCTGGAGGGGACAGTTATGGAGATGCAACCTTTACCAAAGACTTCTCCTGAAAACTAACGTTTCTCTTTCTAACTGAAGTCCCTTTGCAGGCCTGTCTATGTGGGTGACTCACGGAGCCACACACCTGATGGCATGTTCATTATGCCTCCATTTGTCAGAATGTTTTCCAAGTAGATATCTCAATGATCTGGGACAAGGTGTTATTTGTCTTCAAGACTGACTGTGAAAATGTTTAACTAACACAAGGTGACATTAATATTCAGTACTAAACTATCGTAAATTGTTTTCTGCATGTGGCATGTTTGTTTGGATGCATTACATATGTAATATTAGAATTTACACAGCATATTTACTGTTTACAACTTGACTTTACATTAGTTAATAAAACATATCTTGCCATAAATATTCCTGACCATGCCTGTCTAACATAGATTCAGCCTTTTGTAAACACAGGTCAAAATGTTGAATGTGAAAGAGGGAAGGTCACTGGCATAAACAGTGTGAGTTAAAGATAGCTCATGATACATGACTTCATCACTGCTCAAATAAAGAAAAACATGGCCCAGTGTCAGACATGGTCCCACTTTTATTAGGTCGAGAGCTTTTAAAATAATGATAAATCCAAGTTGTTAAACAGTTCTTTCCCGATAAAATCAAATTGTTGATATCAACAAAGAGCACATCCCTCCCCGTTCTGCCTGGCTTAGCCTGAGAACAATTCTGCCTCTGCTCTGAGATAACAGGTCTGTTTATTTAATATCTGGTTGTGACTTAAGCAAAAATTAAACAAAACAGTACCATTGATGGGGAAATAACACTTATTTATTGGTATATGAGAGTAGTTATACGAGAAGAAACTGGTCTCACCAAAAGCCTCCCATTCGAAACACACCATAGAGCCCTTGTTTTATTTTTTAAAAAGCACTCCCATTGGGATATTCGAAGCTCTGTTTGAAAGTGTTTTATAGTCATTCAACTGCACAAAATGGCAAATTAAACCTACGATTTAATGCGGCTACCATGCTTTAATATAACTAATGTCACACATGTGTCCTTCAGCGCTTCCACTGCCGCTGGCCAATGATGGAGGCAGCCGCTCATCTTCATCAGAGAGTTCACCCCAGCACCACCATTACCCCAGCCGCAGACACCGCCTCACCCTGCCCACGCCCCCCTATGGACAACAGAAGAGCCTAGAGAAGTATGGACACGAGCTACACAAGCTAGTATCAAGAATATTTTCTGTGGGACATTTTTAACAGAATTGACAGCATAAAAAATACTCAGACACATTTCATGTCAACGTTTGAGTCAAGAGTGCTTATAACTTGCTAGACAACTTGCCTTACTGTGATTTCTTGATTTCCACTAGGGCTTTTAATAACAATGAGTTTGTAGGATTAAGATTGAGTTGGTGTTTGGCAATGTATTCAAACAAAATGAATAAATATAGTAGGGCTGCAAGGCTAAATTGTTTTAATCTAAATTTCATATTATATGGGCATTGGGCCTATTTGTTATTCCACAATATTTAGTTAATATATGCATTTGTCATCAACAAAATATTACATGTTCTTTTAATTTAGTTTATGTATTTTTCAGCCGGAGCTAAGACAACATCTTTTTTTAACATATTTTTTTAAGTGACCTTAAGGTGTAATTTTACTTCGCAAATTTAATGATACTTTTGCTTTTTGCTTTTACAGTGCAGAAATTGACCAGAAATTACAGGAGATCATGAAACAAACAGGTTATCTGAAGATTGATGGTCAGGTAAGTTTGGTTTTGTTAACATTATTATAGTACTAATTAATATGCTCAATTTGACAGCAAAATCAGAATTTGAGACAGTTTGAGACTTGAAAGAGCATTGTGTAACTTTTCTGGTGGAGTCAGTCAAATTCTTTTCTTAATGGAGTTATTGCTTTATCTAGAATGTTTTAAGGTATGGCATTAAACAGCTCTATTCTTACATATATTCAATTACAAGTTTTTTTTTTAATAGCTCAAAATACCTAGATATAAAATAGATATTCTGACTGTGAGCGGAGTTGCCTCTCCACAGATCTGACCTGTAACTTGGTGTGGTTTGGTCTCCTTGAGGATAGAAAGGTTTAATACCATATTGTAAAACATTCCAGACAAAGCAATAACATCTCCATGGAGAAAAGCAGTTGATGGCCCCTCTACCAGAAAAGTAACACAATGCACATTTAATAATAGTTGAAAAAAAAGTACATCTGAGTGTTACTTGGACATACATTGGCTTTGACTGGCAGAGTGGTTGGCATACATTGTGCCTCAGGAGTCCTCTTCAATATTGGTCTGAGTTTTGTGTGTATTTTTGCCCACAGCGGTATCCAGCCGAGGTAACAGATTTGATCAGTGAGGGGGAGATCGGAAGTGGGACCTGCGGACAGGTTTTCAAAGTGCGCTTTAAGAAGACTGACCATGTTATTGCTGTCAAGGTATGTGAATGCTGCTTCATGACATCACAAGGTGGAGCAGAGCATTTTGACACGTGCACATGCTGAAACATACTTTCAATTCATAAACCAGGAAATCCAATTTTAAAGCAATTGTGTCTTCACCAATTAATAATAGTTTAAAAAATTATTATAAATTTTTTTTTAACTCTATGCTCAAATGAGATATTTTGGAATAAACCTGTTTTACTTTACTCTGCTGCAGCAAATGCGTCGAACAGGAAATAAAGATGAAAACAAGCGGATTCTTATGGACCTGGATGTTGTGCTCAAGAGTCATGACTGCCCCTACATTATTCAGTGCTATGGTGCTATAGTTACTAATGTGAGCTTTTTAAAATATATATTAATTCAGTTAGTACAGTTAGATTTCTCTGGACTTACTGGATCAATGTTTCTATTCAGACTGATGTATTTATTGCCATGGAGTTAATGGGAACATGTGCAGAGAAGTTAAAGAAGAGAATCCAAGGCCCCATCCCAGAGCCAATCCTAGGAAAAATGACTGTAGCTGTAAGTAATTCCTATAGATTTGACCTCAAACTTGATTATTAAATGCTTATTTTTTTATCCTTCTTGTTTGTCATTATCAGATAGTAAAGGCGCTGCTGTACCTGAAAGAGAAACACGGTGTTATACACAGAGACGTCAAACCCTCCAACATCCTTTTAGATGCTAAGGGTCAGATCAAACTGTGCGATTTCGGCATCAGTGGGCGACTGGTCGACTCCAAGGCAAAGACACGCAGTGCAGGCTGTGCTGCGTACATGGCAGTGAGTGCTCATCTTCACTAATCAGTCTGTATTTTAAAAAGAACACAAAGTGCAACTATAGAATTTGCATATATTCTGTGAGTAGTTTATAACCTGCTTTTTTGTTTTTCAGCCTGAGAATAGATCCCCCAGATCCTACCAAACCGGACTATGACATCCGCGCGGACGTGTGGAGTCTTGGCATCTCTCTGGTAAGTCCAATGACACTGATGCATTATTCAGGGAGGTCACTGTAACTGTGCCTGAATGTATTTTTGTGGACTGGTTAAAGGTGGAGCTGGCCACAGGACAGTTTCCATATAAAAATTGCAAGACAGATTTTGAGGTTCTGACCAAAGTGCTACAGGAAGATCCTCCACTACTGCCTCTCAGTATGGGCTTTTCTCTGGACTTCCAGTCCTTTGTTAAAGACTGGTGAGTGTGGGCATAAAATTAGTATTGTAATGGTGAATTATTTGACGCACAGCTGACGTAATTTCTTCTCTGACTTGTAGTCTCACAAAGGATCACAGAAAAAGGCCAAAATACCACCCACTACTTGTAAGTTTCTATATTTCTATTGTAAATCCATAACACTTGATAAAACAGTGTCTCAGACTGTGCTGTGTTCTCAGGAGCATAGTTTCATCCGTCGTTACGAAGTGCTCGATGTGGACGTTGCCGGTTGGTTCCAGTCGGTTATGGAGCGCACAGAGTCTCCGCGCAGCAGTCAGTGTTACAGCCACCAGCACCAGCTCCATTCACTCTTCAGCAGGTAGCCTGACCCTGCATTAGCCTAGCCACGTGCTAGTCTACCCCAGCTTTAGCTTTGCCAAGTGAGACATGGCTCAGTTTGTTTTAGTCTAGCATAAAGAGCGAAGCCTGACGTGACACTCACAACCATCTGCCCAGCGGAAGAGCCACTGAGGAGCAGCACCAAGCCCAAGGAGAAGGACTGGTGATGAGGGTTTGAAATCTGGACAGGCAGACAGGGCGCAGGGGGATAAAGTTTAACAGGGCTGCACCCACTTGCTGTATATTTTATTTCCTACCGTTTTATTAACCGCCGCTGGTTTGGTCAACAGCGTAGTCACTACACACTGGAACATTTTCTGCTACATTAGCAATATGGATCACTTCTGTACATAATCATAAGACACAACTTGATTGTGTAATTATTTAAACCAGGTTTCTCTGTGTTCACACTTTCTCAGGCTGTATCTGTATTCATTTGTCTGTAGTACTTTTTCTTATAGGGATAATATTTTTATACTAGGTAACAATTGACTTACATTACACTACAATCAAATTATGTTGCTATTAAGGTAATTTTCTCATTAGCCATTATAGAGTACACATTTTTATTTAATTTGTGATTGTTCTAATTATTGATGTAGAGCTGATGTTCTTATGAGGTGAGTTATTGAGAAATAGTGCAGTAGATTTACTCCTATGAGAACAGCTGATAAGGAGAGTAAGAAAGTTAGATGAGAAGATGACGAGGTGTGGTGCTCAGGTGATTGTGGTGAGCCAGGTTTGGTGGAATTGTTGCAGGGTACATTTGGAGCATTGCTTTACTTTACTATCTGCCTACCTCTTTGACCACCTCTTGTTTGGTTTTAGGTGTCAATGCTTCCACTGTGTTACAGACCAAAAGTTTAGTGTCATTTGTAAGTGGTGATCAATGTATTTAGCACTCCTTTAAATACAGAAGTGTAGTGCTAGTTTATTGTATGCATTCAGTGATTCAGTGTAAAGATATAGTCTATCTCACACTTTGGATTTTGAATTTAAACCTGTAACAAGTCCCTGCTATAGTCTGGAATAGAGGTCCCACTCCAAGGCACTCACCAAATTAAATTTAAGACTGAAGAGAGGGTAGAAGAAGAACTATGAAGTAAAGTGTAGGGGACAGAGGCATGTTGAAGAGAAGGAAAGGAGGACTCTGAGTCAGGAGTTTGTGTGTTCAAGTGTTTGAACTGAGGAAGTGGCAAGTAAGAAGACTGTTAAAGGAAAGTCGAGAGCAGACGGACAACAGAAAGGCTTCATTTATGAACAAATGTAGGTGTCAAGAACTATTGTAAAACACCTTTACTGTGGCACACACATATATAGTAGTTAAAATTAGTTAGCGATAGCTTTTGGGCTCTTTGTTGTTTTGTTTGGTTATTTATTTGCAATGTTGCTGCTTTTTGCTTTAGGCACTGCTGTCACCTGTTTTTTTCCAAAGTACAAATATTTTTATTTTATACCAAAAACGTGAAATAATGCAATGTCTGCATGTGTTACCAAATAAGAGCATGTTTGAGAAGAGCGAAGGCAAATGTAATAAGAGAGGGTGCAGAGAGAATGAGTACTACTAACACATAGAGCAGTTACCTGTATTATATATTGTACTGTACACAGTACTGCATCTAGTATCTAACACGCTAAGGGGTGTCTGTCTGTCCAGATGTTTTTGTCATAGCTCCTCTTTTCTGTTCATCTTCCCTCACTATCACCAGGGTTACACCAAAGGTGTTGATCAAAACTACAAATGAGTGTTGTAAGAACTGTTGTTAACATTATATTGATTATCCTTATCATTGCTAAAAGACTTGGAGCTAGGAGCAGAGGTGTCACACTGCCTGTATATGTGTGTAATACTGTACAGAGGGAGACTGGTACACTACCAACACAACACACGCAGAGTATCAATACTATTCAAAACAGCTGTTAGTCTGTTTGGATAAGTAATTTTAAGAACAGTTCATGTTATAGTAGTAATTGGTTGTCCTATACTATTTGCTTACACTAAATGTAAATACATTCTATTTTAAATTGCATATTGGGTAATTATCCCATTTATGTAAAATCTGTGTACACTAAGAGATAAATAACATAAGCTGTGCAGGAGCCTCGCTTCATAACAGTTGTACATAATGGAGCCAAGACATAAGCATTGCAATGTGTCCAATAGGGGCTTATCCAGCTGCACTATGGGATGTGTAGTTAAAGCCAGTCTCCCACTGTAAAACTCTGTATTAAGCTGTTGTATAAAAGTAAACACACACGCATACACAGTCCTGCTCTTTTGTTTCTGAGCACCTCTGTGTTCAGCTCATCAATGACACATAACTAATGTATAAAGTCATCCCACTGTACATAGGGATGCTACTGCCAACAGTGGCTTTATCTGTATATTCGCTTCCACAGCAACTATAAAAGTACTTGAGCTAGTGTTGCTGTGCCGCGCCTTGCCACCAGGGAGCAGTGTGTGCGTGTGTAACATAGCCCCATTTGTAAGTTAACCAAATATCATTTTTCACTATGCAGGCATTCAAACCACGTCCGCTTGCTTTGATGGGGATTAAATGTGTTTGTAAACCCAACTCATGTAAGGTTAGCTGCAGTGACATTGTTTTATTATTTTAAGCCCCTCCATGTGAAGACCATCTGTCTGAGGGAAACTGAGGGAAAGAGTTTTGTGTTTTTTTTGTTTTTTTTTTAAAACAAGCTGACAAATAATTTAGGGATGACTTATATTCAGCTCAGTACAGACAACGTAAAAACTTATTATTCATAATTGAAAGATGCAAGTGTTCAACCACAAAACTAGAATATTCAAAATAAATGGTTTGTTTAAACTCAAACCACAACTTAAATCATTTGAGCTTTTACCGAGCATTTGGAAATACACTTAATTTCATGTTTGTAGTCCTCTTGAACCAAAAACAGGGACACAGAGGACCTGCTTAGCTTTGATTTTATGGGGATAAACTGACAAATGCTGTAAAGTACCGTACATCAAATGCATGTTATTTTCACCACTGTAACTGCCATCGTTTTTTTTTTGTACTCCTTTTTTCCGTTTGATTTTGCAAAGCAACAGTTGATATAAGGCGGGGATGCACAAATGTTTATTTATGATTTTTACACATGTAGTTTGTTTGAATTTATGCCTTTTTTTTTTTGCAATATACTTTCCCCTGTTGGAGCCATCGCTAGGTGTCACAGAGGAGCTGTATCTTCACTTTTGTTAGGGACAGTGTTCATTTATGTCAAACCGTTAGCTGTGCAGGTGTGAACAGAGTGTGTGAACTTTATGGTCTACCAAAAGTCTTTATCAATGGTGATTATTAATAGCTTTTATTTTGCTGTTTTTTTATTATACAAGTAATTATTGCTATGTTTTATTACCTTTATATGATATTGTTTTTATTTTATTCAGGGCAAAGTTGACACCAAATTGAACAAAGAGCTGGAGGCTGATCCCAATGTATGAGAAAAGGTGAATTGACATGTTAAAGGTGCACTGCGAAACATTTCTTGTGGAAGGTCCGCCACCTGCTTGTCTCCATGGAAATGTAATTGCTTTGTCTAGAATGTTCCACAGTATAGAATAAATCTATCAGCAGGTTACAGCACTACACGACATTACAGTTCAGATCTGGGGAGCGTTGCCCCTATTCACTAAAGGAATTATGTATTTTTGAGCAGTTGATTCACTGTAATGAGTAAATGCTAGATGGAAATGTTTAAAGTCGCACCATGGAACATTAACATCAACAACATGGAAACCAATAACATCTCTAAGGACCCTAGACCAGAACATTTTCACAGTGCACCTTTAATTTAAGTCTGTAACCTTTGAACTGCCACAGGAGGAGAGCCTTGAGTCTGAACTGAAAGTCATAGTATTTTAATTGTTGCTTTATATATTTTTTGATCAGATAATAATGATCGGTTTATTTTACCCTCGTTTCGGGTCATAAATTGCGTGCTGTTATTTTATCCCTTTTATTATTACAATTTTATTTTAATATTTTTTTGTATTCTTTTCGGTTGGTCCGTTGCTGTAGTAATGAGCTGATACCAGAGTGTTTTTTTCCCTTAATGCTGAGATTGTTTTGACTGATGTTGCACTTGCGATGGGTGTCTATTTTTATTATTTTTTCTTGAAGCTAAAGGACAATATTATTTGATTTTCTTTCTGTGCGTCGCGATCACTATTTTGTATTAATCGTAGATCTGTGACACAGAGCAAGATTGATTCAACAGTGTATTTTTTTCACTGGTATTTATTTATTGTTTGTTTGTATGTACGTACGTTATTTTTGGTTTTGTTTTCTGGTGTCTATTTCTTGTATTGTGAGGGCGAACAGGACTCAACAGTTTCTAAACATAAACCATTATCACACTACTTGAGTCCTGCAGATTGACATGTTCGGCAAAATATTCATGGCATGTATTTGAATTGTTTTAGATCAGCCAGTATGAGGAATGCACAATATAGCAATAGGCTTGATATGAAATACTCAGTTATATTTATTGACCAATTTAATTATGATAATTTAATCATTCTGGCATACTTAAAGGTACATTGTGTACCTTTCTGGAGCGGATCCACAACTTGTTTATCTCCATGGAGGTGTTAAAATACTGTAGACAATTTAAACCAAAGCATTAATTATTAAACAGGGTTCCCACAGTCATGGATATCCTGGAAAAGTCATGGAAATTGAGTATCTCTTTCACGCAACTACAGACTTCTGTTAAGTTATCGTTAGGCTATTATGATTCTTTCCAAACATATGCTCCTTTTGTTTAAAAGAGAACAATAAATGCACTGACAGAATTTTGACTGTTAAAAAAACTATAATACCAAACCATAACGTGAGTGGAAAGAGTAAATTTTTCAGATTTAGCCCTAAAAAAAAGGTATTCTAAATTCTACACATGTATAGTGCCGTAAAGTCATGGAAAATTCACTTCAGGTTTTGGAAAAGTTTTGAAATTTTGTCAGTGAAAAAGAGTGGGAACCCTAATTAAACCACTCTGTCTTGCATTTATTAAAATACAGGTCTTAGTTATTGCTCAGATATCTAGAATGGGGTCGCCTCTCTGCAAACCTAACCTGTAATTTGGTTTGCAAGTCTCCATGGAGATTCTTAAGTTTTATGTCTCTCCATGGAGACAAGCAGATGAATATGTTACACAGTGCACCTTTTTAATGGAGTTCAAGCAACATATTTACTTAACATGAGTAGAATGATAAAAGACCTAACCGAGACAAAATGTGTGTGTAGGTGTTATATTGTGCAGCTCTTGCTTTACTGTGCCACAACTGTAAATTTAATACTATATTTGATAGTTACTCGAGTACATATTGGGGTATTTATAACAGTACAATGTGGCCCTCTTTAATAATATGTGATAGTTGAATATTATTGACAGTGGCTTGGGTTATGACTGCATGGTGTGCTTTGCAGTGTGGAGGATTCAGCAGGTGCTGTCTCAGTTTCAAAGCTTGTTAAATGTACGACACCACTGATATATTGTCTTGTATCAATTGACACAGCTTTACCGCCCTTTTTATTTGTTGTTTTTTGACTGTTATTTTATTACCCCGGCCTCAACCCTAGTCTCATTTCAAACTGAATAAATGCCATTATATTGTGAATACCTCAGGATTTTTGGAGATAAAAACAATAAAACACCTAAAAATCAAATAAATAAACATAAAAACCTAAATCGTGTGTGCTTGTTGTGAAATTATTCTCTTATCTTCAGAAAAGATGAATTAAGGAACCACTGACTTATTCACACTTACTGCATCGAATGAGTCATCAACACCTCTTCTGTGGATGACTTGAAGTGCACAGACAAAATGTATGTGTCAGTAAAGGGCTGCCATAAAATATTTGATTGTGTTGGCTGCTACTTTGGCCTGGTCTCTTGAAAAAGATTCTGAATCTCAGTGGGACCTCCTGGTTAAATAATGGTAAAATAAAATAAAAAAATAAATAAAAATATGTTTGCTTCATACACACATTTGATACACTTAAAGGTCCTATATAAGCTTAAATGACTCTTCTGAGCTTTAACCCATGTTAAGTTGTTACTTACTCAAAAACACACCTGGAGTTGTGTTTTGTTTCAGTTTTGTGTTAGAGTAATAATTTTTGTATTAGTCTGTCTATCTTCAGTGCTCAAAATGCCCTGTTCCAGCTTGTGATGTCATGTAGCAATAGTATTCAAGTTCACAGCTACCTTATACCTTCTAGTGAAGGTGTATGGAGTTTAAAAACAGAGGAGCACATTCTGAATTACCAGAAATGAACTAGAACCTACCTAAATATGCAGAAATTGTGAGTTAAACTTGTGGATGAAACAAAACATAACTGTAGATATGTTTTTGATGTGGAAACAACATTATAGACCAGAAAATACCATAAAATAGGCCCATCTATCAGCATCTATCATTTATTCAATCACGCACATTTTTATTGCTCTTGGGGAATGTCCCAACCAGGCAAAACATTTCCATGGTGACTAAAACATAGTGGCCCCTGCTGTGCCTGTGCCCACATCCTTTCTCTCCTCTTCAGTGAAATGGCATGACTTGACATGACTGCATGTTCTCTGCATTTGAAGCTTACACAACACCACCTTGCTAACTTCCGGAGTCAAATGAACAGTTCATGTTCTTTAAAGGTGGAGTATGTAACTTTTCGGGTGTGGGTCTGCTTCCTACATGACTATATGGAGAAATCCATTCTTTGCTTGGAAGGTTACTCGCTATGACATTTAAAGGTCCTATATTACACAAAATGGACTCCTGTGAGCTTTTAGCCATGTTATAATGTTGTTACCTCTTCGCAAATATACCTGGAGTTGTGTTTTCTTTCATTCACACGTTTGAGTAACCCTGGTTTATTAGTCTGTCTACATCTCCAAAGCTGTTCCACATTGTGATGTCATTTATTGGTATTTTGAAGTGAACAGCTATGTTACCTTTAGTTCAGAAGAGATTGGCAATTCCAGGGTTGAAATTATCCAAATTATTTTAGTGAAGGCGTATGTAGTTTAAAAACACAGTGGAGCACTTCCTTAATAACCTCATGAGAGCACAAGTTGGAACAGAGTGTTTTCCATTTGAGAGAAGAACTCTGCCTAAATATGCAGGATTTGTGTGTTAAACGTGTGAATGAAACAAAACAAAACTCCAGGTATGTTTTTGATGAAGGGACAACATTTTAACATAGATCAGAAAATGACGTAATAAATAATAAATGGGCCCTTTAATGTATCTATTTATTTTATTTCTTTACTGTTTTTATTGCTCAAAAATATATTGTAAAACATACATTCCAACTGTAAACAGAGTCCCCTCTCTACAGTTCGTACCTGTGACTTGGGTGTGGTTGCCTGTTTGCCTTCACAGTAAAAAGTGTAATATCACACTGTAACATTCTTGAAGCAATAACATTTCCATCAAAAAAGCTGTGAAGTGCTTCTTTAATAGCTTTTTAGATTCTTGTTGTCCTGGTGTGAGCATCAGAGTCCGACAGAAGCTCTTAACTGCATACAAGCCCTATAGCTGCATACCTGACCCAAATATAGGCCTACAGAGATATGTGTGTCAATAGAACACAAGAAGCGTCTGAAATGTTATGAAGGCTTTTGCTGACGTCCCACTGCAAACAGATTTATAGAGTTGGAAACATGAGCTTGTGTCTAACTAGTTTGTTCTCGTTCTCACTAACAAGTAAAGAGTGTGTTGTGTTTTTTGCTTTAATAGTCACTGTGAAGAGTCTGCGTGTGGATGCTTTGTATTTGAACATAGAGGAACCTGTTTTACACCACCTTTTTACTAACTTTGATGTGGGACAAATTTGACCAACAGGATGACAAGGATTTAAGTAATGACTAGGTTTGTGAAGAAACTTAACACTGGTGCAGATCTCAACAATAGACCACACCCCCTGGCCTGTGCTCCTGTCTTTCTCACTTTTCCTTTTTTATTTGGCTCCTCTCTCTTTGCCCATATAAGGTGAGAAATTATAAAAAAGCTCATTGGCTGAAAACGTGCAGGTAGTAGAGGTGTAAGGATGAGCTGGAACCACGCCTCATTGTAACAGTTTTAAAGTTTACACAATGCACAAAAAGTATTACAATGATTTTTACAGATGTTTAACACAGATAATCTACTACACGCGGCCAGGACAAGGGAATTTTCCCACAAATTTGTCTGAATGAGCTGAAAAAAGGTTGTCCTAAAATAAAAATCACTATGACTATAAAAAGTAGACCTAAATATTGAGTAAATGGTGTAAAATATGACAATTGTTCTCTGATAGATTATACAGAAAATTTCACTGTGCACAATTTAGAGTAGGCTTAATAATAAAATAAAATAAAATAAAATAAAATGCCAGCGTTGTTGAACACGTACTCTGGGGGCTCTTGAACACGTCGCTGTAGTGAGGATGGGAGGAGGAAGAAGAAGAGGAAGAGGAAGGAGGAGGAGGGAGGACTCACCTGCGAAAAGTAAAACTGGGCGGATCAAAGCAGCGGTGTCTGTCCTGATCGAGCCCCGCTGAGGAGCTGCCTGCACCCGGGCGATAGAAGAGGACACCCACGGGAGACGCTGCTTCACCCCGGTGCCCAGGTCCCCAGGTCCCCACGCGGGTTTTTGTTTTGGGAGCAGTTTAAAGTCACGAGTGGAAAAGGACAAACGTGCCTGTCTCTGAAAAACAGGTGAGTTCAACTTTGTGGTCTTGTGAATTTGCATCAAAGAGAGACCAGATTACGGGTTTTTACGCCTCATTTACACGTTACTACTTCATTGTCCGCACTTCTCCCATTAAATAAACAAGCCAGGTGAGATGGGGATTAGGATCTGATCAGGTGCCAGATTTTGCAGCAGACGCCATAGAGAAGCCCCTTTTCTATTTGCGCATGCTCTGTCCTGCCCTAAATGCTTTTAACACAATTGTGAATAGCCTACTATATTCAATTTCCAATACTGAAGTTATGACACTGATAGAAGTAGGTAATTTGATTGACAGCTTCTCTTCCCAAATACAAAATGGCTGGGCAATATGCCAAAAAAGAATCATAAACAAATAAAAACAGATCCCCATGTTTCTGTGAATGTAAACAATACACAGTTAGGGCCATTTCACACACACACACACACACAAATCAACCACATTTCTTTCTTCAAAGTCAGAACTCAGCTCCAAACCACATGCTTTTACTGACCGTGGACTGACTGTGGTCCTAGAGAAAGTGTAATATTAAGTTATTGTAATCTTCCTAAATGCCTATTCAAATTATTATTATGCATATCCAGTGTTGCACAGATAAACTGTTTGATAAATTAGCTGCACACACCCATCCTCTCTGCAGGGAGGTGTGTCTACCCTGAGGATACAACTTTCCCAACTGGACAGGATTTGGTGCTAACTGCTAAGAGTAAGATCTGTACCAAATATTATCAAGAGAGACTATATTTTTTAACAAAATTGCACACAGCATTGTAATTTAGGACACTATTCTCTGTGAAAAATATTTATTGGCCAGTCACCCGTGCCAAACACAGGTGTCACGCTGAGTCAGAAGTTGAAATAAAGCTGGGATTGACAGGGAGCCAAAATCAGGATCAGCACCTGGAGAAGTGTGCAATACAAAGACATTTAAACATAAACAATTTATTCCACAACTGATCCCAATCCTGAATTAATGAAGAGCATAATGATTGTATGAATGAATGATTGACTCCAACAATGATCAATCGATATTCAAATCAGTAGTGCTTTTCCTGTTACGATCCCAGAACATTCAATGAAAGATGTGCAAGACGTGCGTATGGAATTAGTTGTGGTTTTGATCTGGGCCCTAGAGGGTTTAATAACAAACATCTTTATTATCTGCCTGCCTGGAGTTTCTATAATTGTATCCTATGGCCACATATTTAAATATTGCGAATCAACCGGCTAGATGTTGAAACATGTTGAAGCAAAAAAGTGCATGTAATTTCCTGAGGAAGTTGGCTCATGAGTGAGGCTATGCAAACTCATGTGAACATCACCAGTTTTCTGCTTATGTCCTTGTGGTTTACTAAAGGCTATGCTGAAAACTGTTTATTGTAAACAATTAAAAATTCACTACAGACATGATTATTGTGTCAACTGAAGTAAAAGTGTCTTTCCTCTCCCAGGGCTGACACACACTGAGCGCTTAATGAACTTAGGGCAGGCACAGATGACACTCTGTGCACTTATCCCCTTATCCCTCTCACTATAAACACACTCAATCTGAACCGAGGACTATGTGTGTGTAAATATGAGCCCTACTCATTTACACCTGCCAATGCACTAATACTAATAATCCTCAATAGTATAAAATAGTAGACCACCTTAGTTAAGGTTATGCTCAGTGTAGGAAAAAAACAAAACAAAAGTTACATATAGTTATATAATTTAATTTAGTTCTGTTATATTTATATTGTTTTATTTTAGTATACACCTCAGTGGAGCATCCAGAGCATTTTGAGCACTTTGTGGATTTAAAGAGCTGCTGGGCGTGGTGGACCAATGATGACATTTCTGCTTCTGCCCAGACTTGCTCCTGACATTCTTGTAGCAGGATCTGGGCCAGAGCATCCCCCCCTGCCCTGATACAGCCTGATGCATGTCCTTAAGAGGAATGCTCAACTTTTTATTGCATCTGTTAGAATTCAAGGACTCAAATGAGTGCAGTCCAAGCACTTATCTTGTGCAAACCTTGCAGATGGTTTTTGACAGCATGGAGTGACAGTTGTCATGTTTGTAGTCAAAGCAAACTGCCCAGTCCACTGCTCAGTCTCAATATAAGTAACATATTTTTCTATTCTCTTCTTCAAAGCTAAAATGTCGGACGCAGACAAGTTCCTGTATGGGGACCGCAGTGGGGTCAACAACCCCCTGGCCCAGGCCGACTGGGCGTCCAAAAAACTGGTGTGGGTCCCATCTGAGAAGCTGGGCTTTGAGGCTGGCTCTCTCAAAGAGGAGACGGGAGAGGAGTGTCTGGTTGAGCTTGTGGACTCTGCCAAAAAGGTAAAAACATGTAGATATTTTTTCTGCATTGTTGTTGATATTATGATCAATTTATTAATTCTTCTTTCTCTGTAAACTTTAGATCAAAGTAAATAAAGATGACATTCAGAAGATGAACCCCCCCAAATTCAATAAAGTGGAGGACATGGCTGAGCTGACCTGTCTGAATGAAGCTTCAGTGCTGCACAACATCAAAGAGCGATACTACTCTGGCCTCATCTATGTCAGTCTGTTAAAATGTGCTACTACAGCCAGAGCAAATGAGCAAGACTTTAATGTGTGTGATTTTAAACTTCATTCATATGTTATTTTCAAACAGACATACTCGGGTCTCTTCTGTGTTGTGGTCAACCCGTACAAGCACCTGCCCATCTACACAGAGGAGATTGTGAACATGTACAAGGGCAAGAAGAGACACGAGATGCCCCCTCACATTTACGCCATCACAGACAACGCATACCGCAGCATGATGCAGGGTACCACGACTCACAATCAGAATCATAAGTGCACTCTATGCAATACAACTTATTTTACAGTTATAATAATGGGACTTAATTTTTTTCTGCCACGTAGACCGTGAGGACCAGTCTATTCTTTGCACGTATGTTTTCTTTGAATTAATTTACATTTGCCCTATAATCCTAAATTATTGTTAAAATTAGAAAGGAAATAACATGGGAAAGCCTAAAGTGCTTTATTTAATGTGTGTTTTTATTGTCTTTTTAGGGGAGAATCTGGAGCAGGAAAAACTGAAAACACCAAGAAAGTAATTCAGTACTTGGCCCATGTTGCGTCATCTTCCAAATCCAAAAAAGAGCAGGTTGGTTTTAAAAGCATTAACTGTTTTATTTGACTTGTGTTATGTAAAGGGGCTTATAGATTTCCTAGTTTTATGTAATGAGCCCAAAATAATAATGAGTAATGAGTCGCTCCACATTCTTGGTTCATGTCTTGACCTGCCCGTCTCTGCAGTACCTGTAGATGAGATGTGTGGGCACAGACACTGTGCTTTGTGTTATTTTAAGATAAAATTTTTTCATGGTTCAAAAACAATTGACTAAAGGTTATCTCTGTTACATCATTATGATTTATGTACCCCTTTTACAGGCCCATGCAGTTTTGACACATGTGAGTTGTTCTTTTCTTTAACTAAGCAAAGTCATGTTTCTCTACTAACAAAGGGAAGGGGCCATGTGGGTATTGGGAGGTTCAATGCATTTTTACAAAAATGCTATCACAACACACCGTATTTGCTAGCAACATCTGAAAATATCCTACAAAACATGAATACATATTATGATAAAATACTCAATTTGGATTGCAAAAGGCAGCAATTGTGAAATATTTGTTTTGTGTATTACTTAGCAGTAAATTTTTCCCTCTTCTTTCAAAAGTTAAAAGTGCACTGTATAACTTTTTGGTGGATGATCCGCTACCTACTTGTCTCCATGGAGTTCTTATTGCTTTCCGTGGAATGTTCCATGGTATGACATTAAACATGTCCATCTAGCATTTATTAATCACAGGTGTTTCTATTGCTCAAAAATGCAATGATTCCTTCTGTGAATAGGTCCATAGATCTGAATTGTAATGTAGCGTAGTGCTGTAGCCTGCAGGTGGCGGAGCACCCACTAGAAATGTTACGAAGTGCACCTTTAATGCTCCTGGGTGTGCTTAAAATGTTGGCTAAAACATAAGTAAAACATAAATTGTAAATCTACTGAAGGTTAGTCAGAAAAAATCCAATTAGATATTTGTCCAAATTTATTCAGCTCAAGACTTAGACTTAGACAAACTTTATAGGTCCACAAGGGAAATTATTTGGACACAGTAGGTCAGACAACACAATAAATTATAATAACAAAGAGTGAAAATATAAATTCAAAATAAGTAGCAAAACTACCAAGACTTAAGAGGCATAATTATATACATGTATAAGTAAAAGTTACAAATAGATAGAAAATTGATAGAAATAGATACAATAAGTAAGTAAGTAAATATATCTCTCATTACCTTATCTTACATTACCATATTGTAGTGCAGAAAGGAATGTGTTTTTTGTTATCTGTTGATTGTGGGTGTTGTTTTGCCATTGAATTGCCCTGCTTTTCCTTTGGGGATCACTAACCTGTATGTGGTTGTCTTGTTTTGCCTGCTTGGTTATGCACAGGGCTGCTACTTGAATAGGCTTGCTAAGGGAATGTGTGTTGGAATGTGGATACAGTATTCTGTTAAGTTTGTGTGATTGAGCAATGATAACATAACCTGAGGCCAGTCTTTTGAATACAACATCTAACTTTGCACTAACCTGTTTCTTTGCATTAGCACTGAATCATGATTAGCCACAATAATTATTGAGTTATTGAGTTATTGTTCAATACATGATGATGGAACAATAATTTCTGGGGGTCGATATTTATCATGTGCACTTTTTCTTAGTACTAGTGTGGAACTTTTTTTTATTTTTCTGTTCTACAATAAGGTTTGAGCTGTAGAGGATTGAATAAATTACTTCAAAGTTACTACACTTACTGATACTACTACTAACTAGAAAAGCACTCAGAGAGCGCAGACCTCCGCCAAGGACTACCCCCATTTTTTATATAAATTGCGATAAAATCAGTCTTCTGGATCAGATCCGGATCAGCCTTTGGAATATGAAAGAGGATCCCATTGTCCATCCCTGAGTCAAATTTCACAGGGTTTGGTCAATAATTAACCGAGATATTGAGAAACAAGATTTTTGGCCCCATTTACCACAAAGTTAACTAAAATTTCAAAGTGATCCAGAATCCAGGATTTCTTCCGGATCACCCCTAAAATGAAATCAGTTCTTCCTTTTCAAATTTCCAACAAATCCTGAAAATTTCATCAAAATCGGTCCATAACTTTTTGAGTTATGTTGCTAACAGACAAACAAACAAACAAACAAACAGACAAACGCTGGCAAAAACATAACCTCCTTGGCGGAGGTAATAATAATAATGATGATAATAATATTATTATCATGTGATTAAAAACACAGCCACATTGGGGAGATAATTCTACCTAAGGGTTATGGTGTCTGAGAGGCAAAAATTTGTAAACTATATATTGCAATATATTGTACTTTAGCATTTATTATCGTGAAAGGCCTAAACATGGTCTCCTGGTCTACTTATGATGTCATTCTGTATTAGGGTGAACTGGAGAAACAACTGCTACAAGCTAACCCCATCCTGGAGGCCTTTGGCAATGCCAAGACCGTCAAGAATGACAACTCTTCACGATTTGTAAGATTACTACAATAGCAAGTTTCTCCTTTACTATGTATCCTACCTGGATGACTGAGGGATTTCACGAACATTTATAAATGTATTCAGTTGTAGAACTTCTGTACCAAATGTATTTATACACTTTTAGGGAAAATTCATCCGGATCAACTTTGATGTCACAGGATACATCGTTGGAGCCAACATTGAAACTTGTATCCTCATCCTCAAGTGATTATTTTTAATTTTTATTTTTGTAATGTTGCTTTTTTTCTGAATTTGCTGCTAATCCTTGACTGAGATGTTACTAGATTTGTTGGAGAAGTCTCGGGCCATTAGACAAGCTAAAGAAGAACGGAGTTTCCACATTTTCTATTATATGCTGACGGGTGCAGGGGAAAAGCTGCGCTGTGCGTAAACTGGAGAATATTTCAAATTCTTATCACAGAAAATCTCAGTATATTTGATAGGGATGCACCAATACTGAATGAAGTTGATATCCTGCTTGGGCCTTTAATTGGATGTAAGAGTATTTACAGGCTGATTCTAGCACAAAATGCCCCATGTTTGAACTTTTATTCATACGAAACAGTTGGAGGATAAATAACAGTTGCATAATACAATTGGATTTCTTGTGTAATAAATTCACAGTAGATAAGTGTCATTTTCCGTCCCTACACTGGTATTTGTTAATATCGGGTATCAGCAGATACTAAATAAATAAAGGCAAAGTATCAGAACTGAAAAAGCTGGATTGATGCATCCTTAATATTTGATAAATATAATTCAACTCCATGTATAAGAGCTAGATGTTGACAGGCTTTTCTGTCCTTCAGCTGAACTGTGCCTTGAGGATTATAAAAAATACCGGTTCTTGTCCAATGGAAACATGACCATCCCCGGCCAACAGGACAAAGACATGTTCACTGAAACCATGGAGGCGTTTCAGATTATGGGCATCCCAGAGGAAGAGAGTATAGGTGCGAATCTCAGCATGACATTCCTTTTTTACTTTTTTACTTTTACTTTTACTTTTAATCATTTGGTTTGTTTGCAATTTGTTCAGGTTTGTTGCGGGTGGTGTCTGCCGTTTTACAGCTTGGTAACATGACCTTCAAGAAGGAGCGTCACTCAGACCAGGCCTCCATGCCCGATGATACTGGTATATCCAATTCAGTTCAAGTTTATTGATATGGCACATTTAACATAACTTGAGCTGACCAAAATGCTTCAGATAATAGTCAACCAAAAAAACAGTTATACAGATGCATAGGAAAAGTACTGTAAAACATTACAACATAACTCAAACATGTTTTGACATGTGAGTTTCTCTTCAGCTGCTCAGAAAGTGTGTCATCTCCTTGGCATTAATGTGACAGACTTCACTCGAGCTATCCTGTCTCCACGAATCAAGGTCTGACCCATGATCATATGATATTAAAACTGATTTGAATTACTTTCTACATAACCTACTCTTACTTAACTATGGCAACATTTTATTTATCATTGTTGCTGTGATTTTGCTCAGGTTGGCAGAGACTATGTACAGAAGGCCCAGACTCAGGAGCAGGCAGAGTTTGCTGTGGAGGCTCTGGCCAAAGCCTCATACGAGAGGATGTTTCGGTGGTTGGTGATGAGGATCAACAAAGCACTGGACAAGACCAAACGGCAGGGAGCATCCTTCATCGGTATCCTGGACATTGCAGGATTTGAGATCTTTGAGGTAAAATGAGTTCACTCTTTTGTCCAGTGTGTTGTATTATCACTGTGGTACTGAAACTTGTATTGAGAATCAAGCCTATTTCTTATTGTCAAAACTGAGTGACAATAACACTACATTGAGCACTTAATGCCAGATACAGCTAATTACATGTCTCTTAGTTGGTGGATATTATTTATTTATTGTTTGTTTGAGACAGTGCATGTTAACGATAATTTAGATGGTTAGATTAATAATTCTGGAGTGATTAAATGTGAACTAAACTCTTTTTTTGGTCTTTGTTGTCCTCAGTTGAACTCATTTGAGCAGCTGTGCATCAACTACACCAATGAGAAGCTGCAACAGCTGTTCAACCACACCATGTTCATCCTGGAGCAGGAGGAGTACCAGCGCGAGGGCATCGAGTGGAGCTTCATTGACTTCGGTTTGGACCTGCAGCCCTGTATCGACCTCATAGAGAAACCGGTAATCTGACCACTTTCTGTTTATGCTCATACACCAAACACTCAGCATTTGTCCTTATTTGGACCTGACTCTACAGACTTGTGTTGTGTAAGAGTTTTGGAGAAAGCAGATGTTGTATGTGCAGGTTTAGACGTGTTGAATCAGTGGGTGTTCTAATGACTGGGTATGTGACATTGCCATCTTCTCTGCTTTGTTACTCTGTACCTGAAGGCTGGACCCCCAGGCATCCTGGCTCTGCTCGATGAAGAGTGCTGGTTTCCCAAAGCCACAGACAAGACCTTTGTGGAGAAGTTGGTGCAGGAACAGGGAACTCACCCCAAGTTTCAGAAACCAAAGAAACTCAAAGATGATTCTGACTTCTGTATCATTCATTATGCTGGAAAGGTTTTTGCCCTTTGTTAACTTCCTTATAAATAATTTTGACTAAAACATATATTATTACCATATTGCATTACAGAAGTAGAATTTTGTTTGACAGTGAGTGATTTGTGGTGCAGGTTGACTATAAAGCAGATGAGTGGTTGATGAAAAACATGGATCCATTGAATGAGTGTGTAGCCACTTTGCTGAACCAGTCCACTGACAAATTCACTTCTGATTTGTGGAGGGATGGTAAGAGTACATTTACAATGTGCTGATTCACATATGATGAGTGTAATACATCTTTAGTAATAACACATATTTTATCTCCCACTCCCA